CTGAACAAAGTGGTGCGATCAAGTGTTATAAGATCATTGACTTTCTTGATGGTCATGACCTTCGGTTGCTAATTCCTAGTAAGACATCTCAAACCTTGTTAGTAGCACTACCATTGGAAATAGGATTACTTAGCAATTTTAAACGATTAATAAGACGTGAGAACCACTTTTGCATTTGAGCAATGGTTTCACCATGCTTCATGCGAAAAAGTTCGAATTCTTGATTGAGTGTATTAATATGGGCTTATTTGAACTCATTAGTTCCCTCGTAGGTAACTTGCGATAAAACTCATCAACACCGAGAGCGGATATAATAATGTTTTTCACTTTCCAAACATGTGCCCACTTCTTATTATCTTCCTCATTCCATAGTGCTTCGGGCTTAGGAACATCAACACCATCAACACAATGTGTTATTGGTGTAGGACCATTTTTGATAGCCTCCCAAACACCCTTATCATATGAGTTCACGTGAATTTGCATACAAGCTTTCCAATAACTGTAGTTTTCTCCCATAAAGATTGAGGCTCTTTTATAATCCCCTTTAGGTTCGTAAGCCATTTTCTAATAAGCATTTCAAAGCACTGAATGAACCGGGATCTTGATGCCACTTGTTAGACGATGACAACTTATCTAGAGTGGATTGAATAGATCACCAAGCCAAAATATCCAAATAAAATTTGGTTATGAAAGTTATTTGAAAATAAGTGCGCGCAAAAGGTTTTGGTATGGATCGACAAAAGTCGTCTATACGAACCTCGTTATTGGAACTCAGATATGCAATAAGCCAAACAAAATGATTAACACAATAAGTTGAATCTATATACTTGAATAAATTGACACTTTATTAATCACTTAAGCCAAGTTATTTGTAATGCTATTTCCAATGATAAAAGGCACAAAATATGAACTATGCAATTTATCAAACACTTGGTGTGTGAACGAATTTTCAGAATTTTTCTTTGTGTTATGTTGATATTGAAAACCACTCATAACCAAAAGTGATTATAAGCTTATCAACAACAATTTAAAACAAAAACAATTACAGAAAAATTCTTACGAATTGATCAATAATGCAATGCTATTTGACAAATTACTTAATGAAAAATAAAGCAAGTAAAGAGATAATAGAGAGATCGACACAATTATTTGTTTACGCAGTTCCCCACTTTCGTCCTTGCATGTGGGTACCTCTGCGCTTAATTCTAATATAGAATTAGGACACTTTCTTACTATGAAAAAAATTGATATACAAGAGAAGTGCTCAACAACAACCATACAAACACCACAGTTTTGTTGTTAATTTAACCCCTTCTCTTATTTTGATCTTGAGTAAGACCAAGACAACAATAGCTACCAATTGACTTGTCAATATTTATACTCCTTTGCATTCTTTATCTTCAAAGCTTTTACGCATGATCAATTATACCTATTACAACACAAGACTTCAATTTAATTCAACGTTCTCTCACTACTTCCTTTGTATTCTTTATCTCCAAAAGTTTTCACTTGGTTGCAATCCTCTCTTGAACACCTTGCATGAAAACCCCTAAATCTACCAAAGATCTTGGAGGACAAACCCGCGTTTTTTCTGGATGAAGACCCCTAGAAATCTCAACCCAATATTCTCGGCTACACAAGAACCGAATCAGACGTTATCAATCCTTATCCTAGATGGCACCCCAACAAAAGATTATTATGTATGATTTGTCAGTGTGTATACATAGTACAAAAGTTGAAGATTATGAGCAACTGCATGATATTTTTATGGTATCACCAGTTTGGAATGAAGCATGAATGATGTATTTATAATTTTGAAAGTTTCGTGGCAAAGATGTAATTTTAGGAATAAAAAAATATTTGAAGAATTGACTTAAACAAACAGCATGTGTCGGCCTGAAGAATGGATATGCCGACACATATGGTCAAGAGTAATAGTATGTGCCAACATGAAATGGGCTACGTGTTAACCCAAATGAAATAGAAGATGCTGGCTTATTTAGGATAGTAGATGTTTCTGCCTGAAAGTCGTATGTGCAGGCACATAAGACTTTGAGTTGCATGATGTGCCGACCTGAAACTCTTATGTGTCGCCTGAAACAAGACAGTAGCTACAAGCTTTAATATTGAGTTACATGCGCCGACCTGAAATGGTTATGTGTTGGCACATGCAGTGCATGTTTGGGCTGAAAACTATTTTTCATGATTTTGGCCAATTTCAAAGTGGTTTTTGATGATTCATAAGACCTTTAATGCAAGGGTGCCACATAAGCTTAAAGATATCATCCAATATACAGAAATGTGAAGTTTTTTCCTTGTTTTGACATCATGCGAAATATCTAAAGGTGGAGTTGCACTCACAACATCTACGATGTTGGCGACTTTATTCTTTGGTTTGGGGCGAGCATCATTTCTTATATCACTATTTTGTTGTGACCCAATTTCTTGATACTGGCGAGTTTCAACAAGAGATTAGCTTTGGAGTTTTCATCCTTAGGCACATAAGTTACTTCAAAGAAATTGAAGGGATTAACTAGCTCTTGAACTATCTACAAATACTTCACAAGTCATGCTTCTTTAGTCTGGTATTTACCAGCGACTTAACTCATAACAAGTTGAGAATCTTTTCTAGCTTAGAGGCCGGACGAGCCCATTTTTTCTGCCAAAGCCATTCTTGCAACTAAGGCTTCATACTCTGCTTAATTAATACTGGCTTTGAAATTAAATCTTAATTACTTATCAATCTTAATATTTCTCAGACCTTCTAGTACAACTAGGGGTGTTCGTTGTGCGGTTTGGGCGATTTTGACGCTAAAAGTCATATGAACCGCAAGAGAAAAAATATACGATTTGGTTGGGTTGGATTTTAGAGAAAAAAAACAAACCAAACCAAGACAAATCAATACAATTTAGTTTGGTTCAGTTGGTTCAGTTTTTTACAAATATTTTATTAAGTCGTACATATATATATATATATATATATATATATATATATATATATATATATATATATATATATATATATATATATATATATATATGATAACATAACTTTGTATTTAGTCATTCATACACTACTAAATAACAACAAAACTCATCATATTTGGACAACAATTTCCCATTTAATATGTAAAGATTAGATTAGATAAAAGTGAAATAATAAACATAAAATAATAACATAAAACAATATAAAAAATATTATAATGAAACAAAAAATAGAAGAGATGAAAGATTAGTGAAGATGAAAAAGAAAGAATATAAGAGATGAGAGATTAGAGAAGAAGATGTGCGATAAAAATGAAATTGAAAGAGAGAAAAGTTGCATAAAAATGAGAAGGTGAAATGGAAAGAATATAAGAGAGTAGTGATTAGAGAAGAAGTGACAAGATGTATGCGGCGAAGAAGGTGCGATAATTTTAGGAGAGATTTGAGAAGACTGAAACTAAAACCCTAAGTGTAAGGAAGAGAAAATCTTTCGTAATAGTAAGGCTAAGGTATAATAGGTTTAGGTTTGGGTTGGATTTGAGTTAAGTAAAATTTAGGTTGTAACATAATGTGGTTTGATTCGATTTGGTTTAGTTTACAAAATACAAACCGCAAACTGAACCGAACCATACAGTTTTGTTAAAAGATGTCCTAAACACATTCGAACCAAATGCGATTTTTTGCGATTTCGACTTGGTTTAGTTTGATTTGCGGTTTTCTATTGGATCAGTTCAATTTTGAACACCCCTAAGTATAACTATGGCTCCACTTCCTTTCAGATTAGATGATCCTTCATCAGATAAAATCCACGTGTAGCGAATGTCTTAGCCCATAAGAGAGTTGAATTCGACAAAAAAAAAGGTCAGAACTTGAGATTTTATACTATCTAAAATAGTATGATTGATAGAAATAAGTAATATTAATTCATTTATCTTAACCATAACCAATCCTTTTCATTTTGTAATATTACTTTTTAATATATCACATGTTATATATTACATCAAACGTACTGGTGGTTTATAGTATTAATAAAATATATATTTTGCAATATGAATATTCAATTCAAATTAAATCGTATAAAGTCAAATTAATACAAATCATTTTTTTTCCAATCAATCATCTATAATCAAATCAAACTCCAAATAAATTTATATTTAAATAAAATGAATTTTCATCTCAAAACCGATAAAATCGCAAGGCAAACACCCTCTCTCTACGTTTAATTATGACAAAATAATCCTATGATATGTCAGGTCTCGTGTTAGAAAATCATGACAACCCTTCACATCGTATCCAATGCGATTTTCATGTGACTTTTAGAAGGTAAATTCTTAGCTTCTAGCCATTCGCGCATTCACGCGCCTACCAACTTTCTACCGCAAAACCAAACATGCTATTAATCTATGCGTGTGATGTGATGAGAAAAGACATCTCTCATTAAATAAAGTGATTTTTCGCCTCAAAAGCAATAAAATCGCAAGGCAAATACCCATCTCTACATTTAACTTTGACAAAACAATCATATAATATGTATGGTTCCATGTTAGAAAACCACGACAACTCCTCAAAGCGTGTTCAATGTGATTTTCACGTGATTTTCAGAAGCTACAATTCTTAGGGCCTATTTGATTTGGCGGTGGAAATCTCAAAATCACGGTGGAAATTCACGATAGATCAAAAACTACCTTTTATTGCTTCTCCAAATCACAATGGAAGAGCAAGAAAATATGCGTTTGCAGCTGCAAACGCCAAAACAAACACACACTTAGCTTCTAACCATTTGCGTATTCCCGCGCCTACCACTTTTCCACCGCAAAACCAAACATGCTATTAATCTAAGCATATGATGCGATGAGAAAAGATATCTCTCATAAAATATCTTATGATTTTTTAAAACTAAACTAATTCATTTAATTTCTAGGTATAAAAACACCCGTTTTCTTTTCCATTTTTTTCTCAAAGGGTGCTGCGAAAAACCCCTCACTTTCTCACCGAAACACAGAACGCACAGAACAATGGGAGGAGAAGAGAAACGGCACCAGATGATGCAGAACCTCTTCGGAGATGAATCCGGTGAGGAAGAAGAACTCGAATCCGAGCATGAATCCAATCCTCAGCTCAATTCCGTAAGATCAATCACTCCGCATTTCCATTATCTCAATTTTTTTTCCATACCCTAGCTTAATTCCGTTTCTTCTTGAAACATTGCTCGATCTATTTGTTTCAAATTCGATTGTATACGTGTTTCGACGATTATAATCAAACTTTCGAAATTCAAAATATACAACTGAGTTTTCTGATGCAGGATGAAGGAGAAGGTGAGGTAGGGCAGGAAGGAGAAGGAGAAGTGGAAGGACAAGGAGAGGTGGAAATAGAGAGTGAAGGGGAGAGGGAGCAGATTTCTCAAGAGGTTGAAGTGGAGGTTGGTGATCAGAGGGAAGAAGAGAGTGGAGCTAGGGATTCGGATAGTGATGCTAAAGATGATTATAGTCAGCGCGTTGTTACGAGCCGGCTTAGGGATGTGGTTGAAAGTGGATCTGAAGAGAATCATTTCAATGAAAATGATGGTGAAGAAGAAGTTGATGCTGCTAGGAGCCTGAGGTATATCCATCTAGTGTTTTGAGTAGTTAACCACATTGTTGTGTATGTTATTTTTTATGGTTTTGTTACTCTTTGCTTATGTGTTGTGAATTTATTTAGTTTTTATGGGAGGAAATATTTTGCTTATAGCATCAGTTTTTATGGCGCGACACGGGATCTTCCATAAGTTTATTTCCAAAGATGTATTTATTTGCTCAAATTTGTTGTCCGGCGGATGGTATTTTTTCTGTCGGGAAATAAACATATGGAAAGTACCGTGTAGTGGCTAAAACGGGGGTGTCGAAAACTATGGGCCGTATTATGTTTTGCTATTGAGAGAATCTGTACTAAGCGCCGTTGGCGTGTATAAATCTACAATGAAATTGATGATTGGCATAGAAGAAGATGGAGAGATGGCAGGCTACTTGGTTAATTGAACTAGGTTTCGTTAGTCGTATATATTTGTTGTTCTTCGTGTATCTGCAACTTTACGATGGGTTCTGATAATGTTTTGTTATTGATTAAGACTTGGGCTTTGTTTGGATTGATGGAATCGGGTGGAGCGGAGGGTAAGGAATGAAATGGAGTGGTATTCCATTGTTTGGATGGTTTACAATTGGATGGAGCGGAGTGGAATTGAATGATATTGATTCCATTTCATTCCACCACTTACACCACCATATATCTCTTTCTCTCTGATTTGGACGGAATGAAGCTTGCCTCGTTCCGTCCTAAAATTTCCAAACGATGGAATGAAATCTTCATTCTGCTCCGCTTCATTCCACTCCGCTCCTTTACATTCTGCTACGTTCATTTTACGATATCCAAGCATAGCCTAAATTCAGATAATTTTTTTTAACAATTGTATAGGTAAAAAAGAAAAGTTAAAATGTTACAATAACCATAAGTGTTCTAAGATACAACTTTTAAATTTTCACGTAAGTTGAAATTAGTTTTTTGAGCCCAATTTTTTCTAGAGTGCTGATATTTTATCGTAGAAAATAAAGTTGGAATGTCTTAAAACGACAATTAGTCTTCTAAAATATAGTTTTTGACATTAGTTGGAATAAGTTTCTAGAGCTCAATTTTTTCCAAAGCGTCCTCATTTTATTTTATTTAAGTTACTTTTGTGAGTTAGGAACTAAATATTTCAAGAGCTCCACAAATAAAAATCCGAGTATAAAAAAGAAGTGAAGTTATTAGGTCACAGTATTCCTTTTCCCCTCCTCAGCAAACTCTCAAACCCTAGTCGCCGTTTTGCTTCCCCGAGCCCTCTCTTCTCACCATTAGAAAAAAAATAACTTGCACACAATAGCTTTAGAGATCGAACACCCTGAGAATGAAAGAGAGAGAAATAAACTTGCGTGCAAAGCAGAGACAAAAGCCGAGAGGGGTTTCTGGGTTGCGAGGACTTGCAGGCGCAGATGTTGAGAGCAGCCGCATCCGGCCCCCAAGGCTTAACATCACCAACAGTAGTCGATTCTATGTTTCCTCGAGAAAAACACGCAAATTTCACCCCGGTGACCGCTCTTCTGCAGATCCGCGATCCTTGAGTGTGAGAGTCGCGCCTCAGAAACCCCCAACAAAAAGGTTTCACTTTGCATCGAAGTTTCAATCCTTCCAACGACGGCGCGGGTATTAACTGTCTAGGTTTTTATATGATTTCGATCAAGATAGATCTGATGACATTATTATTTTTGTAATGTGTAAATTTGCTTCCCCAAATGACCAATCAATTATTGCATTTAGTTTTCTAATGGATGATGAAACTTCCTTTTCTGTTTTACATTTTAGCAGAAACTCCATGAATTTCATACCTAGTTATTGAAATTAAATACCAATGGAATCTATGATTTTGTAAGCGCGTTTCATTTCAGTATTATACAATTTTTAATGATTATATTTGAGTCTGACTCTAATTTATAGGATAGGTTGGCTGTGTTGTTCTGTTTCTTATTGTTTGTGTTGATATGCATGTTTTAAAGTTATCTTGAATTAGATGATCAAATAGAACATAGAAAATTACTGATAACCAAAAATTTATCATGCACAATTCTTTTATGTAGCACAATACTGACACTGAGAAATTGTCTTTTTTTATCTAAAAAAATATAGCGGGTCACCTAGAGATGACAATGATCAAACTCGTGATTTGCATTCTGCCCCGGAAATCCGTGATGTATTTGGTGATTTTGACGATGAAGAGGAAGACATGGGGTATGCAGCTCAGCAGGACATTGGACAAGATTCAAATGTGAGTATTAGGTGTCAATATTGACATATATTTCATTTACATGTTTATTGTTCAAGTTTTAAGAATTAATTATTTAGTTGATTTCTTGTTGTAGAGATACCCAGCGGATGAAGAAGGGAGTTATGGAAAGAGTCTGAGACCAGAGGATATACTTGCTGATGAAGATCGTCAATATGAATCAGAGGAGGAAAACATTGAAACGAAAACTAAAGATAAGCCACTTGGGCCCCCCTTGGAGTTAGAGATTCCATTACGTAAACCACCAGCTCTTCCTGATAAGGTCTGCCTTGTGTGAGACCTGTGTTTTATATGTTATTTTTTAAATGAAGCTGGTCAATACATTTAGTTTCTACTCTTCTTTTGTATACTTTAAATTTTGTGTTAGTTTAAAGTTGTTATTTGTATCAGTGAATGTATGTATTTTGAAATATTTATAGGAACATACATTTTTTGATAAATTTCTGATGTTATGTTTGGTGAAAGTGACCTAAGTGATGAGAATTGAACAAGTTTCGATAAAAAGGTTATAGTGAATAGATTTTGACATTTGGTATCACTCTATTGGAACCTGACTACAAATAGAACACATTTATTGTATGATATGCATTCCTGTAAACATCTCTCATATTTGTGGCAGATGAACTTGATTAAAGTTTCCAATATCATGGGTATTGATCCAAAACCTTTTGATCCTAAAACATATGAGGAAGAGGATACCTTTGTAACTGATGAACTTGGAAACAAGAAGCGCATACGCTTGGAGAACAATATTGTACGTTGGAGAGAAGTCAAAAACTCTGATGGCTCAACTTCTGTAAGTAATTGTATACTATTTTATTTTTAGTTTTTATTTATTTTTGTTTATATTCCTTCTTTTACATCCATGGTAAGTAACATTTACTCTCTTACTTGTAACAAGAATCAAAGTCTTTGACAATTAGGTGGGGTAGGCTATATGGATTATACAATGCCACTGTGTTCTTTCATGTACCATTTCTAGATTTAAACCATTTAATTCCAAATCTTTCCTAATGGTTTGGTCTATTGTATTTTTTTAATATTATTCATCTCCCTTATGCTAATGTTATAATGTCTTCTCATGAATCATATTTGAAGATAGTGAGATAACAAATAGCCTAACTATGAAATGGCATTTAATATGTATTACTGTTGATGTGGTGCAGAAAATTTACCTATGGAATGTGCAATACATATTCTTTTGCATTAATGTTCTTTTATTAAGAGTATTGGCAAAATGGGTTCATGTATTCTTATTTATTGTTAAATGGTTTTCAACCTTTTAAGGGCAGCTAAGTTTCAGTTGCACTACATCACTTATTTTGTAGTAAAAAAATATTATTCATGATCAGGTTGAAAGCAACGCTCGATTTGTAAGGTGGTCTGATGGCAGTCTTCAGTTGTTAATTGGGAATGAAGTTCTTGACATATCAGAGCAGGATGCCCAGCATGATCAATCACATCTTTTCCTTAGACATGGAAAGGTGAATTTCATTTTTCTCATAACATGCTTGATAATTTACTCTTTCCCCTCAATGGACTATGTGTACTTTCTTACAGGGAATCCTGCAATCACAAGGAAGGCTATTAAAGAAAATGAAATTTATGCCATCTTCCTTGTCCTCGAATTCTCATCGGTTGTTGACTGCTATTGTTGACTCAAGGCAAAGGAAGGTTTATAAGGTTAAAAACTGTGTTACAGACATTGATCCTGAGAGGGAAAAAGAGGAAAAGGAAAAGGTATAATCAATCATACAAATTAGTCGCATACTTATATTATGTCTCCACTACAATAATCCAATTTCCCTATCATTTTCAGGCTGAAAGTCAAACTATTAGGGCTAGTGTACTGCTTGGCCGTAAGCGTGACAAGGTGAATAAAAAATATGCTCCAACCGACAGGAGGCGTCAACTTTCTCCTGGGTTTTTAGAGGATGCTTTGGATGAGGTATAAATTTAAGAATTGTTGCTGGAGACTCTGCTGTCTTTTAGATGTTACGTATTTGCTGCAATACTCTAAGCGTCTACTTAAATTGTGTCAGTTCCATTATTTATCAATGCTCCCTTTCTTCAGGATGATGAAGCAGATTATTACGACCCTCGTCGTAAACAGCGTCACTTTGAGGACGAATTGGAAGCAGAAGTCCGGGCAGAGAAAAGGATTATGAATGCTAAGAAGGTATTATTATTGTCTTTCGGAGTCGTATTTTGTTTTTTATATTTGTATTAATATTAGTAATGAGGGTTAATATCTGGAATTCTAGTCACAGGGACCAAAGAACATCCCTCGTAAGTCATCTTTTCCACCAGCAAAATCCTCACGGAACCCAGTGGGTTACCGGGATGAGAGAGAGGAATCTGAATATGAAACCGATGAAGACGAAGAAGAAATACCTCCTTCACGTACGAGGGATGATGATACTGAGCCGGAGTATGAGGATTCCGAAGAAGATGATGAAGAGACCGCTCAAACCGCTGCTGCTGCTTCAGACGAGGAAGAAGAGGAGGTACTGAAATGTTTTATTATGTAATCATTTTCTTTAATTTTAGACTCCAAAGTTATTTCTAATTATTTTCCGTTTACTTCTTGTTAGTGCACCATTTCCCTTGGTTCGGAAAAACCAATTTTATCTTTGTTTAGTTGACTATTAATGTACATATGTTTGGATCCTTATGTGCCTCGATTTATGTCGGGATCTTCAGAAGTAGAGTGACCATGGGTTTGCTTTGGTTTGGGTTACGGAAAACTCAGATCCAAACCAATCAAATTTGATTGCTTTGGATTTAAAAGTGGGCGACTGACCCGCCAACTCAATATTCTAATTGGTTTGAGTTGGGTCATCAGGTTTAATAATTAAGAGTAAGATATTATTATTTTTCTTATTTTGTAAAGATACCTCAACTTTTGATGAGGAAATCAAAGGTTGATATATTAACATATCCATGATATGTTAAGCATTACCTATTACTTATTCTTAACTGTTGATTTATTCATCTATTGTTGAGATCAGTGTTATCAAATAGCGGTGCCATGACCGCTATGATGGATATACATGGCAGTTTTTGGGTTTGCCGTAATGGTAAATATCGGTTGATATTGTTGGTTTTCTGCCATAATCCGCTATAATGGCGCCGCAAAGCGGCCAGTATGGCGGGATTTTAGCTCTCGGCTATCGACAACACTGTTTGAGATTACTTAATGTTAGGTTCTAACAGAATAAAGTAGAATTAAGGCAAAGAATAAAGACTGACAGAAAGTGAGGACTGTTTAATCATATGATTGCAAAGGGGATTTACAGAAGATTCAGTGATCTAACTGCCACAGAGCTATGCTCCTATGGAGTGCTTAACAGCCCCCCATCCAATGATTACTCTATGATTCTCTAAGGTGAGATTCCCATTCCCTTCCCCCATCATTTATGGATACAGTCTAACAGTATTGCTAGGACCACTATTCTCTCTCTTCCACCTCACATCTATCACGTGGTGTGAGATCCCCTTTTCCTTCTAGAATAAACCTGCCACGTCTTAGCATTCTTAGGCCCAATATGATTGGTCACTTCAATATCTGGCCCATCTTCCTTCTCTTGGTCCCTAACAATGCCCCCTTCTAGAAAAACTACCTTGTCCTCAAGGTTAAATTCAGGGAATTGATATGTTATGGTTTCCATGTCTTCCCAAGTAGCTTCGTCCACAGCTCTGTTAGTCCACTTAATTAAAACTTGTTTAACTCTCTGTTTTCCTAACCCATTGAAACGTGTGGCTAACACTCCTTCAGGCAAAAACTGCTCCACACAATTCCCTTCAGCTTCTTGGGGCAATTCACTCTCTACTGCATAGTCTCCAATTGCCCTTTTTAACAACGAGACGTGAAAAACTGGATGTATCCGTGATCCATCCGGTAATTTAAGCTTATATGCCACCACTCCAATTCTGCCCACAATCTGAAACGGACCATAATATCGAGCTGCCAATTTCGCATTAATCCTAGAGACTACGGATTGCTGCCGGTGTGGACGAAGCTTCAAAAACACCCATTCTCCAACAGTAAAACTGGACTCTGTCCTCTTCTTATCTGCAAAATGCTTCATGCGGTCTTGAGCTCTTTGGAGATGAGCTCTAAGCTGCTTGAGTGCTTCATCTCGTTCTTCCAACTCTTTTTGAACTGCAGCCACCCTTGTTTCACCTTGCAAGAGTCTTGTAATGATTGGAGGTTTCCTTCCATAGACTAACTCAAAAGGTGTGCTCCCTGTAGACGCATGAAATGTTGTGTTAAACTAGAATTCTGCCCACGGAATCCAAGATAGCCAAGATTTTGGTTGGTCCGCAATAAAACATCTCAAATAAGTTTCCAAACATCGATTGACAACTTCCGTTTGGCCATCTGTTTCCGGGTGATAAGCTGAACTCATCTTCAAAGTAGTACCCTGCAGCCTGAAAAGTTCAGTCCAAAAATTACTAATGAACAAAGGATCACGGTCACTAACAATTGCTGTAGGTAAACCATGAAGTCGTATAACTTCTCTTGCAAAAACTTCAGCTACTGTTCTTGCTGTATAAGGTCTCTTGAGGGGGATGAAGTGACAATATTTTGACAGTCTATCAACTACCACAAACACCGCTTCAAACCCACGAGATTTCGGCAGTCCTGTTATAAAATCCATTGAGACCTCTTCCCATACTGCTGACGGAATGTGCAGAGGTTGTAATAAACCCCCAGGTGCGGCAGCTAAGTACTTTTGTCGTTGACACACATCGCAAGCCTTCACATAAGCTTGCACCTTTGCTTTCATTCCTATCCAATATACATTAGCAGCTAGACGTCTGTAGGTACGATAAAACCCGGAATGCCCACCTTCCGGAGTAACATGAAATTCACCCAACATCTTAGGAATTAACGAAGATTGTGCGGACAACACTAAACGCCCCTCATAGAGTAGCACTTCCTGTTTGTACTTAAATCCTGGCCTTGAATCTGGTTTCTCCTCCAAGTCCTCTATGATTTTTAGAAAAACTTTATCCTGGTGGATTTCTTCCTGTATCACTTTGCCTTCCTCCCATATTGGGTACAAAACCATAGACGATAATTCACCTTCGGATAACCTTGAAAGAGCATCAACTCCTCTATTTTCCACTCCCGGTTTATATACTATATCAAACTGATAACCGAGCAATTTAGCGGCCCAATTCTGCTGATCCGGAGTCGTGATCCTCTGCTGCCATAACTGTTTCAGACTCTTTTGATCTGTTGTCACAGTGAAATGTCTGCCCAACAAATAAGGACGTCAATGTTGCACCGCTAAAGCTACTGCCATTAACTCCCTTTCATATGCAGATTTAGCCAAATTCTTTCCTCCTAAAGCCTTGCTAAAGAAAGCAATGGGCTTTCTCTCTTGCATTAAGATTGCACCTAAACCCACTCCGGAGGCATCACATTCTACTGTGAACTCTTTTTTAAAATCAGGCAATGCGAGTACTGGGGCTGTTGTCAACTTCTCTTTTAATACTTCAAAAGCCTTTTGAGCTTGAGGCCCCCATTTGAACCCCTCCTTCTTCGTCAATTCCGTTAATGGTTTGGCAATCTTCCCATAATCTTTAATAAACTTGCGATAGTAGCCCGTAAGGCCTAGAAATCCCCTCACCCCTTTAGCATTCTTAGGTATAGGCCATTGAATGACACTTTGCACCTTCGTGGGATCTACTGCTACACCATTTCCTGTGATCAAATGACCGAGATATTTTCTGGCCAAATCGACACTTTTTTCTATTCGCAACCAGTTTGTGTCTCCTCAAAATCTGCAACACTTCGGTTACTTCTAGGATATGCGCCTGCCACGATTTACTGTAAATGAGTATGTCGTCAAAAAAGACTAACACAAACTTCCTCAATAAGGGCCTGAACACCTCGTTCATCAAGGATTGGAATGTGGACGGAGCATTCATCAATCCAAACGGCATCACAAGGAATTCATAATGGCCGTCATGAGTACGGAAAGCCGTCTTATGGATATCCTCCTGTTTCACCCTCACTTGATGATACCCGGACTTCAAATCCAGCTTGGTGAAATATTGAGCTCCATGTAACTCATCGAGTAACTCATCTATCACCGGTATCGGAAACTTGTCAGGCACGGTGACCTTGTTAAGAGCACGGTAATCAACACACATTCGCCATGTCCCGTCCTTCTTCTTCACCAGTATAACGGGACTCGAAAAAGCGCTGCAGCTGTGTTGCACAATTCCCATTTCTAACATCTCTTTAATCTGTTTCTCTATTTCATTTTTCTGGTGGTGTGGGTACCTGTACGGTCTGACATTAACTGCGCCTTGTCCTGACATTAAATTGATCGCATGGTCTCGGGAGCGACGTGGAGGAAGACCCTTAGGTTCTTGGAACACATCATCAAATGACTTCAATACTCCCTGCATATCATATTGCACTACCAAGGTTTCTGCTTGCCTTACAGTGTTGCTAACTGTTGCATCTAGGGACCATCCATTCATGCAATACCCTTTTCCAGCCTTCCCTAAGATGCTTTGCAATGCTCTGGGATTGCTGCGGGCGTACCTTCTATTCCCCTCAACATTACCCACTTCCCATCATGCCAAAACTCCATTGTTTGCTTCTTCCAATTAACTATCATATCTCCCAAAGATTTCAACCATGCCATACCAACAACCACGTCCACTCCATCTAAATCAAACAAATACGCCTCGATTTCGCAAGTAACCTCCCCAGTTTTGAATAAAACTTGCTTACATTTTCCTCTGGTAATGGTTTGGAACCCATCACCTAACTTGATTCTCAAATCTGGAGTGGTCTCTACTTGCCATCCTAACTTCTGAACCATGGACATCGCAATGAAATTATGCGTAGCCCCACTGTCGACTAACACCACCACCGGTACGCCATTGATTGTTGCTCTGAGTTTGAGTGTTTGAACCTTGTCATGTTGTGACTCTTTTAGTTCAAACAGTGTCATAACACTCATTTCGCCGTCCTTCTCCTCCTCCGATTCGTCCACCTCCACAGCCAGCAAATTCCCTTCGTCCTCCCCTCCTTCCTCTTCATCTACAATCATGACACGGAGCTGCTTCTCTGGGCATTGATGGAGAGGATGATATGGGCCTCCACACTTGTAACACAATCCCTTTTTCTTCCGGTTCATGAGCTCTTGATAAGACAAATGGGTGAATCCCTTATCACGTGCACCCCCTTCCTTCTATCTGCAGTGTCCTGTTTGGGTTCACGAATTGGGCCACTAACACCTCTAGGCCCAACTCCATTATGATGTCCACTGTTCTGGCTCCCTTTTACAAAAACCCAGTCCGTACCACCTTGTCTCCCTGGGTTAACCCGGTTTGACCCACCTATTTTCGGACTTCGGTTCCAACCCGACCCACTACTCATCTCCCTTTCCACTGCTCTGGTGACGTGAAATAGTTTACTTCTTGTAAGTGGTCCCATAGCCACAAAGCTCCGAACCCTACTTCTGATTTCGTCCTTCAACCCATGTAAAAAATACCCAAGGTACTGTTTGTCAGGCAACCTTGGATCTGAGCCGTCAAACATTCAAATTCTTGTATATAGTCTTCCACATTGCCCTTTTGACGAATTTCTGAAAGTTGTTCATAAACATCTCCTTCCCCTAAACCACCGTATCTCTCTAGTAGCTCCACCTTGAACTCCTCCCATGTCAGATCTGGGTGTTCTTCCAACAACGAGTTAGAAGAAATGGATGGTTGGCCCATCCATACTCAATTGCGCCAAACTCACTTTCACGGTGTCACTTGTGCCTTGAACACGAAAGTAGATCTCCGCCCTAGATGTCCATCCCGCCGGATCGTCGCCGGAGAAAGCCGGAAGTTCGACCTTCTTCACGGACTGACGAAACTCCGTCAATGCATCTCCATGAAGGTTGTTAACCACGATACTCTTTGGCTCACCCTTTGTCGTCACCATCGGCGAGCCTTTATTAAAGACGCTCGCGCTTTCTTCATCAACTGTCAACGACTTGCCCAAACATTTTTCCAGTAGTGCTATCAAGTTGGCGTGGTTTGTTGTCGCCGTATTCTGCACCTCAACGAGAGTTGATCGTACCTCCGAGATCTCACTCTCTAAAGCTTCGACCCTAGCTTCCATCTTTGTGAACGCTGGCACCGTCACTTTCTTAGGTGGCATTCACTGGCTCCGACGTCGTAATCCGGTAGGTCGGACCAATGTTAGGTTCTAACAGAATAAAGTAGAATTAAGGCAAAGAATAAAGACTGACAGAAAGTGAGGACTGTTTAATTATATGATTGCAAAGGGAATTTACAGAAGATTCAGTGATCTAACTGCCACAGAGCTATGCTCCTATGGAGTGCTTAACAGCCCCCCATCCAATGATTACTCTATGATTCTCTAAGGTGAGATTCCCATCCCCTTCCCCCATCATTTATGGATACAGTCTAACGGTATTGCTAGGACCACTATTCTCTCTCTTCCACCTCACATCTATCACGTGGTGTGAGATCCCCTTTTCCTTCTAGAATAAACCTGCCACGTCTTAGCATTCTTAGGCCCAATATGATTGGTCACTTCAATATCTGGCCCATCTTCCTTCTCTTGGTCCCTAACACTTAACCTCTAAAGTGAATTATCCCATTAGCCAAATCCCTTTATGTTATTGATAATGTAAAATATTCACTTGGGATTGGTTATATAGGAATATGAGAGGTATTTCTTTTGTTTATTTTTGGTAGAGGGACAAAGGGCCATAGAACTCTATTTGGTATATTGTTCATTTGGGTTTGCAACCGAGTTCCGCGTGAAACTTAGCTTTTGTTTTACTTGTCTATTGGTATCCCAACACTGTATCCTTGTTTTTTTGGTTCTGTTCAATTGTACATCTGTTGTGAATAAGTTATTAACTGACATTGTTATGGTTTCAATACTATTTCGATGGTTACGTGCAGGAACCGAAGCATAAGGGTCGGGATTTAAAAGGTAAGGTCAAAAGGAAGGGGTTTGAATCTGAAGAACACTCTCTTCCTAGAAAACCAACCAATCGGCGAATGACCATTGTATCTGACAGCGACGACGAATGAAATTCCGTAAGTCAGATTTTCATTCTGTGCTGCCTTAACCTAAAATATAATTCATGATTGTGATAGTATCCTATGTTTTCCTTTCATTTTTGTCATCGATTTTCGGGTATGAGATTAGCTGTGCTGTTACTTGTTTCATTCTTTTTTCCTTTATGTTTCAGGTTCTTGCAATTGGAATTTGGAAGGAGCGATGCATTTTGCTGCTGCACAAGCTGAGATGAATCATTTGTTTTTTCCCTCTATATTCATGCTCATACAAACTAAAAATTTTAAGTTATAGACACATCAAGAAGAACCACAGGCACACATCAATTGGTAATTTGTCTCAGGTTTCTGTTGTATGTTTATTTCCAAAAACGATGGTCAAATCTTCTCCATAAAGTTGCAAAACTATATGGAAAGTGATAGGGTGATCAAATTCAAATAAAAACTGCAAGCCGATCAAAAAAACTGAAAACCTCAAAAAACCGAAATTTTTTGGACGTGTTTCTATTCCTTTTTATAAAAACCGCTTGGATTGGATTAGATTTCTGTTGTATGTTTGGATTTAGAAATGTAGTAAACTGGGGCCAAATAATTTGACTATATATTTAAACATCCGATCTCTGTTGTATGTTTTGGATGTGTTTCGAATATTTGACTGTATGTTTGTATATATTTACATAACAAAGGTGTATTGAGCATTTTAGGATCATTTGACAAAATCTTAGACCCCTCTTGAATAGAAGAGTTTATTAATTATTAGATTGAAAAACCTAATTTTTTTCTTATTAAAATATTCATTGGAAGATTTTTCCATAGTGCTCTCTAATAATTTTTTGATACAAATTAAAATTGGAATACAAAGTATATAAATTAAAGTTAGATACAGTCCTATATTTAGATGACAAGTAACCTATGTTTTTGTCTCAACTTATGTTTTTCTCTTTAAGCTTATTTAAATTATGAATTCAAATAAATAATTATTTCATAATGATCTCCTTAACAAATGATATCTACATAAAAACTTGCGCATCATTTCTCCTGTATCTAAAATACTTTTTTTTACTCTAAATAATTATCTGTTTCTAAAACACATATTTGACTCTAAATAGTTATGTGGCCTTTGCTCTTTTTATTGTGAACTCCTTAAAACTTTGTACTTTTTCAGTTCAACACTACATCTTTTGTACATCATTTAGTATTTAAATAACAATAATCTCATTTAGAGTAACTAGAAATGACAATACAATCTCTTAAAACTTTGTATTGTTCGAATCCAATCCGAGTTTGACGGAGAAAATCTGTTTTGACTAAGTGTTTCTCCGCGAAATAATTATTAGTCTCTTATTAAAGGTTATTTGCAGGATCAACTACAATAAAAATAGACTTAGTGTTTTGAGTGTTTTTGGGTTGAGAATTGATTGATATTGGATAAAAAGAGCAAAAGATAAAGACATTTGTAAAGTAGAGAAATTAAAGACAAGACTTGTAATTTCAAAGTAAAAACTGGAAATTGCTATGAATTTAAAGGTGAAAGCATTCATACATTGTTAAGCCTGAAACTCATTTCTCTCTTAAATGAAGATACTTTGAGTGTAATGCTCTAAATGTGAAGAAATGTGATCCTTGACACAAATACAAACATTTGCTTAAATAGAAATCTTAAATATGTAACCGTTGACGGTTACTAGTCCACGTTGGGCTTCTTGGAAAACTGTTTTGAATATTCTCACGTTCTCGCTGGCTTACACGTTGATAACTGTTCCCGCCAATATAAATCCTTGCTTCGTCGACCTCTGTTTCTATCGACAACTGCCTCTGAACCTTATGTCCTCGTCGACTGGCTCCCTTGGTCGATATCCTTTCCCTTGCTCGACATATTCTATTGTTTTCTATGAAACTTATGCTTTTTCAACTCTTTAATCTTACAACTTAAAAGCCTATGTCCATAGTCGAAAATTACTTGTCAACAAATTGTCCCTCAAAACGCCATGTTCGACATAGCCTTGTTGATGGGGGAGAACTTTGGCGTTTTCTCTTTTACGTTTTCAACTACACGCCTCTTTTTGGGATGACGTCATGCATAATCATGACTTACTTTATGCGCAACAGTTTTCTATGTCACCTAATCACTTCTCATGATTACTCTTAGGTTTTAGGGCGTGTGTTTTTAAACAACTCCACTAACTTTTCCACTTCTTTTGGCCTGCTCGCGCTTTTTGAGTGACATCCGTTTTACTCCAACGGTTCTGATTTTCCTTTAAATAGACTTCCAAAGCATTTAGTTGCTTTCTTCTCTCCTTCTGCTTCAATTTTACAATTCTGCAACTTACGAAAATCTTGAGGAACCTTACTCCACTTTCGTCATGGTTACTCCATCTGGTACTCTCTTCAACATCGATAACAACCCCATAGCTTTCTCACTTTCTAGGAAACAAAGTTTGAACTACGTCCCAGATCTTCCATCTGAAGTGGAATCCAAGATCCAGGCATGGCAACATCAAATGTTAATTCTTTTTGTTGTTGCGAAGAGTCTCTTCGCTTTCCATGGGCCTTATCCAGCCCAAGAGTCGCATCCTAAAACTGTCAATCAATATTTTCCATGTTTTCTTCCTGCTATCCCTTCTGCTTTCAACCATACACAACCCATTGACGTTAGGTTTATGGTCTCTGATATCGTAGTATTTACCTCCATACCCATTTCGGGTAATACAGTGTACCTTGCTTGGCTTGATAGAGTTCAAGAACAACGTAAATTTCAATGGGAAAAACTTGGTATCTTCGACGTAATTCAAATTTCACGGAGCGTCCATAGAATTGATCCCAACTTTATTCTCGCTTCACTTTTCTTTTGGGAAAGTTCGACTAATACTTTCCAACTTCCTTATGGGATGTTAACGCCTACCCTATTTTATGTGGTAGCCATCATTAGGCTTTCCCCGTTGGGTATGACTTTCAACCCATCCGTGTCGATGAAACATACATATTGCTTCGAACAATCAGATTTTACCAACTACATTATTGATCATCACCTTGTAGATACTAACGATGTCTCCGATACTGAGCACATAGACTTTATCACCCTCTGGCTTTCCCATTTCTTGTTTTGCACAAGATCCTTTACCACAACTCAGGATTTTATACCTCTGGCAATTCAACTCCATGAGGGATAAAACATCTCGCTGGGAAAGCTTTTACTAGAGATTCTTTACCAAAATTTGGGCAATGCTTCCATGCAACTGAAGGCACTCTTTGATCATGACAAAGGATTCACTCTTTCAGGACCCTTTTGGCTTTTGCAACACTGGCTAAATGCCACATTCGAATTTCAACTGGGTTATCTTGTTTCTGAAAAAAAATTGCGTCTTAACAAAGTTAGAGCCATGAAGGCCCGGGGTTATCCTTGACCACTCCCCTCCATAAATTTGATCGATTTGTGTTCATGAAGTATATCAATATGTTCATCGAAACAAAGACATTTGTCTCAGCCATGTCCCCTTTTGTGGAATAGTGATTTAACCCAAACTGGTTTCGAGAACCTTTTCCTAATACTTATCCAAATGCCGCTCGTATAAATGCAATATGGAGGACTTTTCTAACACCCACAATGCTTTCTTGTCAAATCAACATTGACTCGATAAGGTATGGTTTCATTGGTTACCAACCGAACTTGGTATCTTGACAGTTGGGACTTAGCCAAATGTTGCCTTCGTCCTTGTTCTACCGCTATTCTGACATCGTCTGGGTGGGTAGACGACTCACTACTGAGGAACATATGGCTTACCTTAAATTCCATCGGGCCACTCAAACTCTTGAACTTCCAGTGTTCAACTTCAAACACTCATTCTTCACTTTAAAGCTATTTGACCAGTGGTGGCCCCAATATCAAGAGAAATATTTCTCCATACCCAAATTTCTTCAAAGGCTCATCGACGCCTTTAGTTCTCTGGACACTCGACTACCTCTTGCATCGTTGATCCATCAGGACAGGAGCGACCTTCGTCGGTCGAATTGAACCAAACTTCATCTTCTGGACAAATTCATGAAATGACTCCCTCTTTCTTTGTAGGCTCCTCACAAAAGCACAATGTTGTGTCACCAAACTTAGCAGTATCTCTCTTTCTCTTGTTTTTCGCTTTTAATCTTGTTCTTCATGCTAACTTGGAAATCCTCCCTAGGGGCCACCTTGTGCAGGTGACGTCGAGTTGAATCCAACTAGGAATGCTCCTGTTGGTGACAACATTGCAAAGTCCAGCCATCCATCTTCATCAAACCTATCTGTTGTACCCCAAAATTTTCCCTCTCATTTATCAAGATTATTCTCACAAGATCTCTTTGACTCAAGACTGGATCAGGGTTTGACCAGCTCAAGACATCTCATCTTACACTGATGACCCAAAATTAGGGTTTGAGTTTGCACAAGGATTTTTGGACTATCAATGCTTCATATGACTTTCAAACATAATTATGGACCCCTAAGATTACTCATGACAAGTTTCAAGCTTTGAACCATATTTTTGATCAGTCAATTGGACAATTGACCTAAAAATCATCTATATTAGGGAAAAAGTCAACCATGGCCAATTTACAGTCAAACTTCATAATTTTAATCCACATCAACATTTTAGACTCATATGTATCATTTGATCAAGTTTGGACCATAATTCCTCAAGAAATTTGATCAAATCATCAAAAGGGCAAAATGGTCAAAATTAGGGTTTTGATTGAGAAAGGGCAATTTCTGATTTTTGACCTAACAAATGACCAATTGGTTTGAAGCATGATTTCAAGGGTTCATTTGTATCATCTTGACCTAATGACATGGTTCAAAACATTGCAAATCCATTGGATAGACAGATGAAATTTGCAGTCAACTGATCAAAAGTCAACTGTATATTGAAAAGTCAAACTTTGACTTTTTGGTCAAAATCAAGTGTCAAGGATCACAATTCATCAAAACATGTCAAAATGTGAAACTTGTTCATCAAGAAACTAAAGATTGAAGTTTTGATTTTGAAATTTGAAATTTTTCTTAACTTAGAAATTTTTCTATGTATAGAAAAATTTCTTATTTTTTCTCAACTTTAAGCCATTTTTTTCACCATGGTACAAGATGATTCAAAGAAAGTTCCCAACATGAAAGTTGTAGACCTCCATGAAATATACAACTTTGCTTCACACATTTTTTCCTAAAGATGCTTGGATCTCAAAATATAATTTTGTGAATACATGCC